AAAGATATGTCACTGTGATTGGTTTAATAAAAACCTAAATGGCCAATAGAGAATTCTGGGAAGAAGAAGGGGAAGTTGAAAGGAGACACCAAGGCAGCAGGAAAGCAGGGTGGATATAATATATAGATGAAGTAAATGAGCTTCAGGGCAGCAATAGTTTAATAGAAATGAATTAATTTAAGCTATAAGAGCTAGTAAAAACAAGCCTAAGCTATCTACCAAACTTTCAGAATTAACAAGAAGTCTCCATGTGGTTGTTTGGGAGCTGACTGGTGGGACAGACAAAGACTCTTTACAGTGAGGTTTAAAATGTGATCTGCAAGCAAGGAAAGGTTGTCAGACTTTTTGCTACATCTCTGGATATAGTAAGTGCTAAAGTTTGCAAAGATTGATGATGTTATGCTGAATAACATATTAGCACATTGTTGGTTTGTCTTTGTTTAAATTTTGTAATTCAGTAATTCACTTTTGATCTTATTTTAATAATTTGTACACAAGAAATGGAAGGAAAGTAGGGAGTTTAGCATGGATAATCTGAGAAACATTATTCTGAATGTTGTACAGTAACTGATCAAGTAAACAGAAACCACCTGTAGTTCTGAATAACAAAGACCCAGAGAAGTGTCACACTGGATTGCACATAGGTAGGGCAGTTTCTGCTCATAGTGGGTCTTCCCAATAGCTCCATTGACATGTGGCCTTCCTCTGGAGTCAGACCATTGATTTTTACAGACCTTCCCCACTGACTTCTACAAGGAACCTAACGTTTGGTTTTGTTCTTTCTTATCCTTTTACAGCTGGTTTGTCTTTCTGTATGTTTTCCTTTCATCAGTCATAAATTGAGTAATTGTTTAATCCCCATTGATTTTCAGAAACTTTTATTGTTTTGATATTAGAATAAAATGATTTGTCACTGAAAGGTAAAAAGTATAAAGATTTTAATTTTGATTTAAAAGATGGATTATATAGGATGGTATCTCATAATCAGATTAACTTGGGTTCAAATCATGGTTTTCCAAGTTAGTAGCTAGACATTCCAGATAAACTTCCAAACATTTTTAAAAAATTATTTTATGTATATAAGTGTTTTGGCTACATGTATGTATCTGTACCACATGTATTCTTGGTGCCTATGGAGTCACTGGAACTGGAGTTACGGATGGTTGTAAGATAGTGTGCAAGTGCTGAGAACCAAATTCAGGTCCTCTGCAAGAGCAAGAGCTCTTAGCTGATGAGCCATCTTTCCAAGTCCAACTCTCATTATTATTATCATTATCATCTTCATCCAAAATTATCATCGTTATGATTATTTAGATTCATTTTCCAATATGTAAACCAGAAGCTTTAGTGGGCAGAATAATTGTGAAGATTAAGTGACATAAGGAAGTAAGGGAACGTCTTAGGGTTTTTATTGCCGTGAAAAAGACACCATGACCATGGCAACTCTTATAAAGAAAACATTTATTTGAGGTGGCTTATTTATAGCTTCAGAGATTTAGTCCACTATTATTATAATCATGGATAGCACAGTGGTGTGCAGGCAGACATGGAGCTAAAATAGTTGAAAGTCCTACATCCTGAAGATAAGAGGAAGTTGACTGAGAGTCACACGGAGGGAAGCTTGAGCATCCTCAAAGCCTGCCCCTACAGTGACACACTTCCCCCAACATGGCCACACCTCCTAATAATGCCACTCCCCTTGAGGGCCATTTCAAGGTTGAAATAACTTCCCGTAATAAAGTTTTGGAAAAAAAGAAAAAGCATTCTTCTTTCCCCATTTTCAATGAATATATTTCAATTATTTTTCTTTAAAATTATCACTGAAAATATTGACAGAGATCCTATGAATAGAATAAGAGTTATAATAAAAATATAACAAAAATTTATGCCCATTAATTTAAAAACACACATTAGATTTCATAGACCTTTGAAAAATTTGACTGAGTCTTTCCAAGGTCAGGCACTCTTCACTCTGCATGGAACTCTTTGTTCCAGTATGAATAATTTACCCAGGCATATAACATGGCTTATTCTTAATTTCACTCCTTTGTATTAGTGCCATTCTTGAATGGATCACATGCCTCCCCTCTGCACTCCATCCCTTTTCAAAAATGTTCAATATTTATATCATCCAGGAATTGACCCAAGGAAATTGGATCAACTTTCTTTGATTTGTGAAATTGTAGGTTCTGACAGGGTGCTATATCAGGCCCTACTTATTACCACCCCCCAACTTTAGCTTGTTTTCCTACACTTTCCCTATAATTTTTTTTAAGGTTGTTTTTTTCCTTTGAAATGAGACCCAATCATTCCCTTCATTGTGCTTATAGTCAGGACTTTCAGGATGAGAAAGACTATCAGTTGTTCAAAATCAGACATTCCATTGTCTAGTCTAAACAGAAAGACGGCCAGGTTGGTTTCTTCTTTGTTTCACCTTTTTCTTTTGTGTTATTATTCCATAACCCTCTGTTACTTAGTGGGGAAATGGTATTTCTGGCTGATTGAGAAACAGAGGCATAAACTGTCAGAGAAAGTTCTAGAAGAAACAGCAGACAAGGGACACAGCATGTGACGAGAGACATGAGTGAGATGGGCAGAAGCAGGAAGAAAGGCAGCCTCAGGTGCATACTCAGCCAATCGCAAGCATTTCAGGAGGAAAAAGAAACCAATTAAGCCACAGCAGAGTAGTTCTGCCCAGCTTCTATTTTGTGCTCAACAAATAACACTACTGTCACTGCCAATGAGAGCAGCAACGTAGAACGCCTTTTCTCCCAGCACGGATTCTAAACAATCTACTGGATTTGGGTCAAAATAGTAAACCGCCAGCATGTTAAAAATAAAAAACAGAAAAACAAACCTGGCATCTTCCTTAAGGGCTGTGAGGGTGAGAGCAGGACAAGAGCCAGGGAGAGGAGCTGCTATAAAAATAACTAGTGCAAACATCCTTGAACTGATGTTTTCTATAAAAATCCCATGGCTGTGAATTGAAGGAGTGAAGCCTGAAGGGGAAAGGAATGGGGAACCAAGTGGTGTCTGCTTATCGTCAGTCAGCTTTCATGTAAAAGTCATGGCAGGGTCAGCAACAAACCAGCCAGGTGGCAACTCCAGGCTACGCTCCCATAAATAACAGTTATGTACTAATGTCACACAACCAGAGCTAGATGTAAAGCATATGGGAAGGAAACATTCTCATGTAAAGATCTAGAAACTGAGCAGTGCTCGCTCAGTTTTGGATCGACTTTTGGTACTGAACTTTGGAAACCATTGAGAAAATAAAGTAGTAAAACATTAGAGGGCGGAGAAAGAGCCCCAGGTATACATTTTTTTTAAATTAAGAGTATTTATTTTTAAAAAAAACCCTTAACCTTAAGGTTTAGAAGAATGACTATTCGATGAAGTGATTAGGAATTGTTGAGAGCCCACAACACCACACACCAATTTTCACTTGAATTCCATTCCTGCTATTTACTTGTTCTCATGACCTCCGGGAAGTTCCTTAACCTCTCAAACCTTTGTTCGCTCTGTACAAAGGAAGGAGGGGAGCATAATGGGGAAAGAACCTGCACTAAGGGAAGTTATGGGGATTAAGTGAGTCTTTACAGGGGAACCCACAAAGCACTATCTACTAAATATCCTATCCTGTTTACTTAACTCATTACTTATGGAACTAACTTATTTTAAATAGACTGTTTGCTGGATGCTATGCTAGTAAATTTTTACTTGTGCTGTCTTATTGCTTCTATTGGCATATGGTCATGCACATAGAGCTAGATTTCACAAATATAAATTCTTCCATGTCTATCATGTTCACACACACTGCCAGCCTCATTACTTCTTCAGTCTTCTTTGCATGTGTATGGATATATCTGTATAGGTGTGTAAATATATATGTGTGTGTGGTGTATTTGTGATCTATGCAAAATTGAGTGTGTACAAATGAGAGGAAACACAAAGTATTTGTTTGAGTCCTTTTCTCAGAAGATGACATCATTTTAGTCTTTAAAATTGAGTCTGTAAAATATTTTATCCTCTCATTTGTTCACTGACATCCAGGATGACTCCATAACATAGCTATATACTACCTTATATAATCTTAAAATCAGCCTCATGAATTAAAAACTTTTATAGGTAAAGTAATTGAGGCTTTGGTGGATTAAGGAATTTATCAAAGGGGTCTTATCTAAGTCAATCTTCCAACTTACGTTTTACAACAAATGAAAGCTACAATAAGTGTGTTAAAACCTTAGCACATTTTCTTTCACTTGCTCAAAATGTTTAAATTTGAAGAGAACACACACAACATATGTCCATCTTAGAAGAAAAAGTTTTTAAAAAGGAATTAGAGGGGCTATGGTTTTAAGGTATTGATTTTGGAGAACTGTGTTTCATTCACAGTAAATATTGAAAATAAAATATTAACTCAGCGTTTCATTTCTCTAAACATTTATTAGGAGCCCACTATTTTGGTGGCCAGAATGAAGAATATACTTTTTGAGGTGTAGGGAGTGAAAGTGACATTCTACTGCCAGTTGATTTAAGACTCAGGATTTAAATCCTCAACAAAAACAGCATTGCTCTCCAAGAGAGCGGCTGAAGAAATTTCCCAGCAGAAGCTAAGCTGCAAGCCTTCCCACTGAAGGAGACCAAGTTTCTTGCAGGCCATCTATTCCCGGCGGCGAGAATTGGGCGTGTCTGGAAACAAATTCAAATTCCGCGCTCCAGGAGAGGACTTCCGGGGCCCGGCTCAACGCTGGAGGACCACCTTTGAGACCCGCCCCCTAAACAGTGCGACAGACCCCCCTGGTTTCTGGCAACTATCAGTGTGGTTTCGGCGAGCATCTGTGTGCCATTTCAGAGAGGTGACGCCGGGGACACCTGCCCCTAAAAGACGCAAAAAGTCCTCCTCCCGCAGCGGCCACTTCCGGATTGCTCTGCCCTTACCTAAGATGGCGGCTAGTCGCCTTCGGCCCGGCTTACTGCGACTGCTCAGTACCCTCCGCAGTGCAAACAGTTCCACAGCCCGCCTCAACCGCGGAGGTGCAGCTTGGGACACAGCGTGTCTCCGCCCTGCGGTGCAGCTAGGGGGTGTGCTTTGGGGGCAAAGAAGGTAGCTAGGAGTAGGAGCCAGGGTCGTGCTACGTTCGGCCTTTCCCTCGCTTCCTGGCACCAAGGCCGCACGAGCCCAAGGGTGATTTTTCCTTGGGCCCAATATGATACTAACCAAAGCTCAGTACGAGGAGATAGCCCAGTGCCTAGTGTCTGTACCGCCCACCAGGCAGAGCCTGAGGAAGCTGAAGCAGAGGTTCCCCAGGTAAGTCCCCAGCTCCCCTCTCACACTCTCACAGTCTTTTTTTTTTTTTTTTTTTTTGCCTTCAGCTCAATTCCGGCCCCCTTGGCAGTGCTTAGGGGCCACGTGTCACACGCAAATGGGAGGAACATAGTGACAGGTCAGAGATCATTAGAAAGCTCTCTCCCTTTCATCTGCCTACCATACACAACACACTGGAAGACTCCTGGAACCTCTCCCAGAGTTGCAATTGAATTCAAGTCAACAGATGTTTATTGAAAACTTGATCCGTATGGTGGGGGGAGTACACATAGTAGGTGCTTCATAACTGTCCAGCGGTTAATCCAGAGATACTAGCAGTGGATGATGGGTAATGGAGTCATTCCAAAGTAAAAATGTGAACCTGCAGGCTCATCAGACTGGCTTGCTGCCAACTTTGCAGACAACTAGAGATGGTAGATTAAACAGAGGATCCTTTCGTGTTGCCACTGGTGACAAACAAGAGAACCAGGCCTAAAGGGGCCTTGTGATGTGGACTGCAATGGAAAGATTCTCTGTGTAATCGAGGATATTAGTATCCCGTGGATTACACTCTTGAGTCTGGCCCTTTCGACCTCCAGGTCTGAAGGTTTTTCATGCGCATACGTATTCCCCATGGGTTTCATACTTCTCTCTTCACTTTGCTGTGACATTTTTGGTTTATCCAAGATGCCAGAAAAGGTCTCTTAGAGATCATGTAACATAGATTCCTCATCTCAAAGATGTGAAACAGATGCAAACATTTCTTAAAGAACCTGTTCAAGACAACTAGGTTATCATAGTTAATGTTAAATAATACAGAGCATTTTGTGCATTTTTTTTATAATTTAAAACCATATTATGGTATTGAGCATAGTTACCCCTAATGGAGAGCTTTCCTATCTATAATGCATAGTTTCTGACGAGGAAATCACCAGAGAGAGATTTCATTGAAAAAGATGAGTTATTGGCTAGTGGGTATCAATTCAAATTAGAAGGATATCTTTTATGATTTGATATTTGATATACTAATTTTCCTAGTCTCTAAATAGAAAAGCTCTCTTTCCAACATTGTCTATTTTTTTTAAATGGTTTTTCATGACAGGGTTTCTTTGTAGCTTTGGAACCTGTCCTGAACTAGCTCTTTTAGACCAGGCTGGCCTTGAACTCACAGAGATTCGCCTGCCTCTGCCTCCCAAATGCTGAGATTAAAGGCGTGCGCCACCACCGCGTGGCTTGTCTATACTTAAGGGTAATAGTCATCCCTTTATAGCTGGAGAGTTTTTATCATAGCTGCTGTCCAAGAACTCAGCTGACAAGTTGGAATTCAGTTTTGTCATTAACTTTTTTAGGTCTGCCCATGAGCAGTCAAATGAGTGGTGTCTGATCACCCAAGGGAAAAGTATGTATGTACATATATATACATATATATGTGTGTTATATATATCATGTGTATATTATATAGCATGCAATACATTTTATATATATACACATACATACATATATACACACATACATGCATTGCTGAGCAGTTTTGAAGCTTTTTGATACTTTGCTTTCATTATGTACATATACTTTTGCTTTTAAAAGAACATTATTGTATATGCTTGGGCCCACATGTGTCAAGGTGTGTGTGTGTAGGTGAGGATAACTTCGAGTTGTTTCTTTCCTTCTACCAAATGGGCTCTGGCAATCAAACTTGTCAGCTTTTATAAACTAAACATCTGATCAAGTCCACTATTTGTTTTAAATGTATTGTATGGTTATATCTTTAAATATTTATTAAAATATAAATTAAAGCTGAGAAAATAAAAAATTATTATTTTTTATTATAATAATAAATTATTATAATAATAATTTATATTATTAAAATTTGCTAAATTTGTTTGAAATATAATAAGTATATTATTTGTTAATGTATTTAATGTACATTAGCCATAATATACAAATGACATGATTGTATACTTTGCAAATTTCTTTAATTTAATTTTAATGTCTACCTTAAATACAAGGAACTGTATGTATGTTTACATTGAACTGGTTGTCCTATGTTGCTGATTAAAGGGTAGCAAGAGGACTGGGGACATAGCTCACTGAGGAAAGTGCTTGGTGTGCAAGTCTGAGGAGCTGAGTTTGGATCCCCAGCATCCATGGAGAAGCAGAACAGCTCAGCCGAGAAAATGCCTCCATCAGATTGCCTGTAGGCATTCTGCCAGGGCATTTTCCTGATGAGTGATTGATGTGAGAGAGTTCAGCCCACTGTGGATGGTGCCACCCTTGGGCAGGTGCTCCTGCCTTGTGTAAGAGAGCCAACTGAGCAAGGCCTGAGAAGCAAGCCAATGAGCATTGTTCCTCATGGTCTCTGCTTTAGTTCCTGTTTTCAGGTTCCTGCCCTGACTTTCTCTCATGATGGCAACAGTAAGTGGAAATAAACCCCCTTCTCCCCAAGTTGCTTCTTTGGTCATGGTATTTTTTCATAGCAACGGGAAGGCAACTAACCTAGAAATTGGCACCAAGCTCATTGAATACTGCTGTGCCAGACCTGACCGTGTTGTATGGAAGAGGGATGCAATGGAAGGCCTAACACTGAAGAGGTCATGGAGAGACCCTGTCTCAAAAAATATGGGGAAGAAATGTAATGCGGACCTCTGGCCACCACATGTGCCTACATGGGCAAGTGCAACCACACACGTGGTCGATCATACACAGCTCTATACCACCGTAGAAAAAGAAAGAAAAAATGCTAAAAAACTCTGGCCTCATATGTAGTTGTAAAAGAGAAGAGTAACATAATGGACTTTGTAGATAACTGTAGATTTAAAAAAACACTAGATGTTTGTATAATACAAAATCTAATGCTAGTTTCTTGAAGGCTGACTGTAATGTGGGATATGAAACCCCAGCAAAGGCTTGTCACCTTTTTGCATTGTAACAAGGGGCCTGTTTTGAACTTTAGTTGGTCTTTTACCCATGAAATATTGGTTTTGAATCACACAAACCTTCCAAATGTTGTCACCTTTCATTCTACTGTCTAAAAAAAAAAAAATCGCATTTGCTAATCTCGTCAGTGATCTCATTAGATGTCTGTAAGATTTGAAGCTGTCAAGCTATGGTGATGGATATGAGCTTTCTAATATTTGAATTTTCCCTTGAAAGCTCAAATTTTATCATTGGCAACACATGCTATTAGTTGTTTTTCTTGAAATGACAGGCTCACATCATTTATGTTTGAGAAAACGTCTGCCAGATACCCAAATCTGAATAATCATATTTTGTTCATTGTTTATTCAAGTAAGAATTGTATGCCTTGGAAAAAGTGGCCAGCTCAGCTCTTCTGTCAGTTACATTCCTCCATGGAGACACTGCTGTGTCTTTAAAAATGGTCTTTATATTTCTAAGTTCTGTATACAGAATTTTAAAAGGATGAGAATTAATATTAATTAGTGACTGTTCTGAAGTGAAATACCCTATTTATTTGTTTGTTGTTTTGTTTTGGTTTTTTGTTTTGTTTTGTTTTGGTTTTTTGAGACAGGGTTTCTCTGTGTAGCTTTGGTGCCTGCCTAGGCTGTCCTTGAAACTCACAGAGTTCCATCTAAAGACAGAAGGCAGAGGCAGAGACGCCTCCCAAGTGCTAGAATTAAAGTTTGTTTGTTTTTGAGACAGGGTTCCTTTGGATAGCCTTGGCTGTCCAGGAACTCGCTCTGTAAACCAGGCTGGCCTTGAACTCACAGAGATCTGCCTGCCTTTGCTTCCCATGCGCTTGGATGAAAGGTGTGCTCCACCACTCCTGGCCAGTATTTTTTAAAGTTGTGTTGTGTATGTGAGTTTGAATATGACTGCAGTACCCTTGCCTCAATTTGTTATGTTTGGAAGTTAAAAAGCTATCAACTTGAGGGGTACTGGGCGTGGGAGGAGTCCAAGGCAGGGTAGGTGGAAGGGCTTACAGAAGAGAAAGTGGTATAATTTTATTTCTATTAAAAACACATTGAAAAAAATAGGAATTGGAAGTTTACCCTCTGTAGTATACAATAAGTACAAATGTCAATAGATTAGAAGGGGGGAAGTAATATTTTTGTAAAAATTAGTTCTGACCTTGTAGGCCCCTGAGAGGGACTTAGGGACTCCAGGAAGCCACTGGCTGTTTGAAATCAAAGCACATTTACATTTGGTAATACACAATACATGGGAATTGACAAAGGACTACCAAGAAGATTGCTAATTTTTTCATCTGCAGAACATGGGAATCTCTGTCTCTGAAACTTTTGCAAACATTGAGCAGAGTCATTACTTCAATTGTTCTGTCTTGAATTAAGAATGACTTTGAGTAATTTGAGATTATATTAGCTTCTTTTTTCTTTTATTCCCATTTCTGGGGATCAAATCCAAGTTTTTATCCAAGCAAAATGATAATCTATCATTGGGCTTTACCCACACCTAGTGTTTTCAAATTATAATACACTGTAGATTATTTCAATAGTTTTTGTCTATTTAATTCTCTTTTTGCATTAATGGAGCCACTTGGTGTTCTATACCTACCTTTCTACTGGAGTGTTTGCTTTTATGAAATTTGTTATTACTTATTATTTGTTGCATGTGCTGATGTTAAAGTTGTTGATTTTGTTTTTCTTCTCTTTTTTTGTTGTGTATGCTTTCTAGTTTGCTTTTACGTATTCTGATTTTAACTTCCTTAAACTTCAATTTAGGCTTCTTTTTTTTTTCGTTTTGTTTTTGCATTTTTGATTTTTGAGACAGGGTCTTTCTACATTACAGTCCTGGCGGTCCTGAAATTCACTATGTAGACCAGGCTAGTATTGAAGTCACAGAGAGATCTACCTCCCAAGTAATGGGATTAAAGAGCTGTCCCTTCATACCTGGCTTGTTTTTGTTTAATATGTCCAGGTTTAGCCCTGGCTCTTCTGGAATTCACTTTGTAGATCAAGCCTTGAACTCAGAGATCCACCTTCTTTTGCCTCTGGAATGCTGGGATTAAAGGCGTGCACTACCAC